CTTCTCCTCCTCCCCTTACCCTCTTCCCCCTTTTCTTTCCTTCTCCCCTCCTCCTCCACCTCTACCTCTTCCTTCTCCCGTCCCCGTCGCCCTCCTCTTCCGCTACCTCTTCCTTCTCCTTCTCTCCTCCTACTCTTCCTCTTCCGTCTCCTGTCCCCCTTCTCCCCTACCCCTCCTCCTCTACCTCTTCCTTCTCCCCTCCCCCTCTTCCCCTCCTCTACCTCTTCCTTTTCCCCTCCCCCTTCTCCCCTCCCCCTCCTCCCCTCATCTACCACTTCCTCTTCCTTCTCCTTCTCTCCTCACACTCTTCTCCCTTTTTCTTCCTTCTCCCCCCTCCCCTCCTTTACCTCTTCCTCTTCCTTCTCCCCTCTCCCTCCTCCCCTCCCTCTCCTCCCCTCCTCTACCTCTTCCACTTCCTTCTCCCCTCCCCTTCTCCCTTCCCCCTCCTCCCCTTCTCCCCCTCTTCCTCTTCCTTCTCCCATCCCCGTTCTGCCCACCCCATCCTCCCCTCCTCTTCCTCTTCCTCTTCCTCTTCCTCTTCCTTCTCCTTTGCTTTGTATTCCTCCTCCCCCTCCTCTTCCCCTCCTCTTCCTTCTCCTCCTCCTCCTCCTCCTCCTATCCCTTCCTCCCCCCTCTTTCTAAAGATGTTGGCTGTCCAATCTCTTCAGTGATGGAACACCCACAACTTCTGGTGGCAAGCAGTTCCCCTGGTTCACTGTCCTCCCAGTTAGGAAGGTTCCCCATCATTGCACGTTGCTTCTCTCCTTTGTGAAATTCGCATCCGTTGTTTCTGGTATTTCCCTGTGGGCCTTTGGAGCAGTGGGGGGATTCAAAATGGTTTTACTACTGGTTCTCTTGGCGTGGCTAGGGGGGCATGGCTAGGGGGCATGGCTAGGGGGCATGACCATGTGACTGGGTGGGCGTGGCTTTTTTGGTTTTTGGAGCAAACCCCTCCCCCCCGTTTTGGGGGGCTTCTGGGCCTCAGGCAGTCCTCCTGGGTGAAGCAGTAAGAGAGTGAGGGGAATCCTGGCACAGCTGATCATAGGAACAGCTGATCATCCTCTCCTTCCTTCCTCCTTCTCTCCTTCCTTCCTTCCTCTTCATTTTATTTCCTTCCTTCCTTCCTTCCTTTCTTCCTTCCTTCCTTCCTTCCTTCCTTCTTTCCTCCTGGGTGAAGCAGTAAGACAGTGAGGGGAATCCTGGCACAGCTGATCATCCTCTCCTTCCTTCCTCCTTCTCTCCTTCCTTCCTTCCTCTTCAATTTCCTTCCTTCCTTCCTTCCTTCCTTCCTTCCTTCCTTCCTTCCT